CTTGCTAACTGAAAGGTTACTGGTTCAAACCCATCATCTGCTCCATAGGAGAAAGATGTGGCAGTCTGCTTCTGTAAAGAATTACAGTCTATCAAATCCTGTAGGGCCCTTCCGCTCTGTCCTATAGGGTGACTATGAGTCAGAATCAATTTGACGCCCCAATAATTATATCTGTGTCCGAGAGGGATGTTGTGGGAGTGAATGAAATCACTCATAACAAGGTTTCATGTGTAGTAAACACTTAATAAATGCTTGCTGCCAGTATCATAATGATTATAAGTTAAGTTTATATTGGAGGGACTAGCCACACATGACCACGTTAGACTGAATGACCTGCATTCACATGTCCCAGTCCTTAAACCGACCCTTATTTTGGTACTCCACACAGCTGAGAAAGAATATGTGTAGGAGGACCCATGGTATTCTCTCATGTAGGAAGAAATAATTGGAAGAAATATATTTCCTGTTTTTCAACTTTTGCCCTAATTGGACTAGGCCAAAAAAAAAAATCTATGAATTGATTGCATTTCTAAACACACAAAGAAAGATTCATTAGAGTTTATAGAAATCAGTGGGATATTCAGAGAAGGCTCCAAGGACAGATAATGCGAAGACACTCGTGACAGAAGTAAAAATATGAATATTTTCATATTAAAGGCATTTCCTTACTAACAGGTTATCTTCCAAACATTTTATTTATGCTATTTGAAACTCATCATACATTTTTCTAAAAAAGAAAAAGAAAATAATAGTGGTTAAATATCTGCCCTGCACGCTGCTTAACTCAAAAAATATTGATAAGTATACTCCGAGTGTTGTAAGGCACAAGGGGACTTCAAAAAGGTTGTGGGAAATTGCATGAAAAGATAGAGAGGTCCTGATGACGGAGAACAGAGAACTTAGGAAAGGAAGGGACATTTCCTTCGTTCAAGGCTGGCCCTGAGAAAGGCTTTGATAGGAAAGTTTGCCAGTCACTCCCCTCTCTTTTTTCTACATTCCTCTCTCAGCGACCAGTCCTCTCCCAGGTGTCAGCTTTTCACACCACTCCGAGTTTCCCTCAAGGACCCTTGTAACAATCTTCCTCTCCGTAAATGGAGTATCCAGCAGCGTCCCTGGTTGAAAGGTTTCGCCCCTTACATTCACTCACAGGTGTTTTCCCTTGTAAAAGGAAATGCTTAGTTTACAGACTTTTCATTATTTAAATTGATAAAACCTTAGTCGATCCGTGGGCATAACCGGGCAGAAGGTGGCACCGTGGACAAGCAGGGTTGCTCAGAGACATGGAACTCCCCAGCTAGGACAGGTAGAGATACAGCAATGAGAGAGGACTAGATGCTGATCTCAAGAGAGAGAGGGAAGGGGGAGGCAGACAAAATTGGCAGGCTAGGTGGCAGGCTGGAGGCTCTGACAAATATTTAGGGTATAGCC